TTCATACACTGGAGGGGGGATCCCTCAGCCCAGCCTGCCCCCTCTCACAGTCCGGGAGCCCTCAGGGGCAGGAGGTGACCCAGCGATCAGGGAAAGTGATGCCCCATCACCCTCTGTTGCTGCCACTGCCGGCAGCGCAAGCCTCGGTTGGCCCTGGTTACCTGAGCCTCAGGTGGCCCTGGGCAGCTGGGGGGCTGAGGGAACTGGGGTACTCCGGAGGCAGGCTCATGGCAAGGTGGGGCTGCAGGGACTGGGTGCCGCCATCTTGTGGCTGTTGGTGTCACTATCTTTGAGGGTGGGACAGTCAATTAGCATATTCCCACCTTATTGGCTGTGGGCACCTCTATCTTTGCAATGGTGTGAGGGTCAGTTAGCATAACCCCTCTTTATTAGATAGGATGTTCACCTTTGAATATATACCTCACTGTATGGGACTTTGTTCAGAGGTGATGCTCAGTAAATACTTGTTAAAGAATGCAGATGGTGTTTTATTGCTGCAGTGCTTTTCTAGAATAATAAACATGCTACTCTTATAAACTGAACTTTCAATTTCATTTGAGAACTTAAGCTTCTACAACCATTTTGGATTTATTTTTCAATGTTTGGAATAGAAAGCAGAGAGAAGACGGTGTGTTTTCCATATTGATAGATCTCATTTCTTTCATAAATTTCTAATGAGACTCAATTCCTTGTAGCTTTTTTATGACTTTCTTTTTTTAACCACTAGAAAAAGATGACAGAAATCTACGTAAAAAGAGAAGAAAGCCAAAAGCAAGGTAAAAGTGAAAACGAGCTAAAAAAATAAAAGGAGAAGAAGAAAAAATATGAACAAGATCAGCAGGTATTTCTATACTTATAAATCTATTTTTAAAAAGCTGAATTCAAATAAAAATATATTTTTTATGCCCTTAACCGGAATGGAACCTGGGGCCCGTCAGTCCGCAGGCCGATGCTCTATCCACTGAGCCAAACCGGTTTCGGCAAATAAAAATATTTTTAAAGAAAAATAGATCTTCCAATTTGAAGATAAAAATTTTAATAGTAATTGGTTTTAAAAATTTTAATCTTATAGTTAATTTCCTAACACAGACATACAAGGAAAAAACATAACAGAGAAAAAATTGAGAAAGAAAATTTTAACAAAAAGTAGACTAGGAAGAAAATGAAATAAGGGAAGATTTTATGAGAGGAAAAAAAGTAAAATATGAATGTTTCAAAAAGCACACTTATATTTCTAACTAGAGGCCCAGTGCATGAAATTCATGCACAGGAAGGGGGGGTCCCTTAACCCAGCCTGAACCCTCTTGCAATCTGGGACCCCTCGTGGGATGTCCGACTACTGGATGTAGAAGCTTAAGTCCTCAAATGAACTGGAATTGGCAGTTGGACATTCCTCTCACAATCTGGGACCACTGGCTCCTAACTGCTCACCTGCCTGCCTGCCTGATTGCCCCTAACCACTCTACCTGCCTGCCTGATCACCCCTAACTGCTCGCCTGCCTGCCTGATTGTCCCTAACCACTCTGCATGGCTGCCTGATGCCAATAACTGCCTCTGCCTCAGCCCCCACACCTGGGACCCAGGCTTCCCTCCTCCAGCTGGCCGCAGGCAACTGGGACCTGGGCTTCCCTCCCTCTGGTTGGCTGCAGGCACCCGGGATTTGGGCCAGCCACAGGCACCTGGGACCTGGGCACCTGGGGCCCAGGCTTGCTTCACCTGGGACAGCTGCAAGCACCCCGGACCCCGGGCAGTGCCTCCAGGGCCCTGGCTTTGTCAGGAAGGACATCCAGAATGACGTCTGGAAGACGTCCGGTCTATACAGTCTAATTAGCATATTACCCTTTTATTAGTATAGATGGATCCCAGTCCTTTCATATAACATGTAGATCTATTAAATAACACTTGAATAGCTTAAGACAAGTATTTCCTTGTAGAATATGAGTTAGACATTAAAGGTATAAAAATTACTTTGTTTTACTGGTCATGAGGTAAATGAAAATGTATTTATTTATAGATTGAATTTCATTTAGTTCTGTATTGTTGGCTTGAAAAATCACAGGGAGGGGGGTGGGGAAAGTCCAAGTAATGTCATTCAGAGTATTTGGCCTTCACACTCATTATCAAGAAGATGAACACACAATGGTTAAGAGCACTGAATCTAGAGGTCTAGACTAGCTGAGTTTGAATCTGACTCCCTGCTTTCTAGGTGTGTGACCTTGGATTTCTTGTTCCCCCAGAAGCAGACTCTGAGACAAGCACTCAAGGTAAATGGTCTACCTGGGAAGGAATCCCAGGAAACACTGATAGGGGATGGAAGAGGTGAGAAAAGGAAAAAGCAATATGGTATCAAGCCAGCCCTCTGAGGGAGAACGGAGCTCTGTACTATAGGGGAACGCGAGTCTGTGCAAAACACAAGTTAGAATTGACTTAACTGAGGAAGCTGGATTTTATATTTTTGTTTTTTTAAATTGCCCATTTCCTATCTTTCCCTGGTTGTGGGCTGCTTCCTGGTGCATTAACTCGTGGCACTGAGCATGCTCCTGTGGCTCCTCAGACAGAAAGTGGCAGGGTTTGCAGTATGCAGTGCTAGCTTCAACTTCAAATGGTGTATTTGAAAGTTATCATAACACCAGTGTGATCTTTCTAAACTGAATTAACAAAATATGAGATTTTGATGAACAAAAATTCAATATAATAAATATTAGGATAAATGTTTAGATAACTGCAACAATATTTACACTGGAAACAGACTTCATTTGGTCATTTTGGACTCTGCATGCCACCAGGATATCAGGTGTATGAAGGGGATAATTGATCCTACCATTAACCTCTGTTTCTGATTGAACAATGGCAATGTTATATTACGCAGTAGGATTCCTCTCTCCAACCTCCCTCAGTGTGGAAATATAAACCTCTATTTGAGCAGGTGGAGAAGAGAACCGTAAAGAGATGGCAGGTAACAGTGGAGAATCCTTCATTATCACCAAAGATGTCGAAAGAATGTTTGCGTTCCCTCTGGCTCAAGTGAACTCCAAAGGAGGAAGCTGGGCTTCAGCCTCTTGCTGGAGCCCCATTCCAGAGGGCTGGCCACTAGGAGCAAATATCAAAGGAGCAAGAAGCTATGGCATGTGCTGCAGGAGGCATCACTGAGGAGTCTCTGAAGGGAGCTGGAACAAGTTACACTCATCAAGGAGCTGAACATATACAATGGCCCGTAACACTGGGCCCTTCAGAAAGCCAGCATTTGGATGCAACCATACAGAGAACTCTGAAGACATTTTCCTCCTTCCCTTCCGTGTCTGCCCCCCAGCTGCTGTAGCAGAAAGGGATCTAGAAGAGGGCAGAGAAGGGGAGCAAAGAGTACATCAAGCTCCCTTTACCCCTCAGGTCCTTGGGCCTGATCACACCTGTTTGGGGATGATGAGGTTGGTAGGGATACGTTTCCACAGAGCATGACTGAAGGTAACTATTGGAGAAAATGCAAAGCTGTTTCATATCTATGTCTTGCAAATTTTAACTATGCCCCTCCTCACTGAAAGACATACTAGGTCAAGCCAGAAAAGTAGAGTAAAAAAGAAAAAGGGAGACCAAGTCTGAAATAAAGTTATGTTAAATGGGGTGGTTACTAGGATTGCAGATACTCTTATCTGCCACCATCCATTTTTAATGTTGCCATACAATACATAGTATAAAAATAAATACATGTGCCAAATTCCATATATCAAAATTGATATATAAGCAGTTTTTTGGTGTGGCTCTATGCTAAAACATAGGCTGTATACATGTATGTATATACTATAAATGCATACCCATAAAAACAAAGCACAGTTTTATATTCTTAGATACTCTGGGAATAAAGCTATAATACTATTTGTATGATATATTAGAATTGCATTGATATCTATAAAGTTCAGAAAAAATTCAAAGATCACGGATTCAGGGGTAATGTTCTGAATATTTCTATATTTCTTGATAAGCTCTCATGAACTCAGCTTATTCTTTCTTTCTGGAACCATCCCAAGATGTAGGCTAGGTTTGCATATCATATGAAGAAAAAGAAAAAGAGCATTTAAGTGGACACTATCCGAAAACACCAAGTGTTAAAGACAGGCCAAACACCTACATAGCACTTACCTTGGCATTATCTTTGATGTAGTTAGAAAAGTTAAATATCCATGGAAAAAATAAGTCTGGAGCATTTTCATCACAGGAAAGAAAATCTATTCTTTCTTTTCTGAGGATCTCTCATGAATGAAAAACATATCCTTTTATTTATATTTATGATTTCTGTGGTGTGATTTATTATGTGCTAGAGTTTGAGTCTGCATTTGGGTCTTTTTGACTCATACTGACATTTTCAATAATCTCTCAGAAATGCCAGATCATAAATGCACATAATTGCCAAAATATAATCAATCACAAAGCAACTTGAAATAAAGGTTAACAGTAATATCCTAGAAGCTTATGAGGTGGGCACTTTGCCATGTGAAAGAGATTTGAGTTTTAAATAAAATACTTACCTCTTGGCCCATTTCAAAGTAAAAGTTGAAAACTTTTCTCATATAAAATTAGGATAAGATTAGATTTCCCTTCTGGAAACACTAAAGCAGGAGATTTTATATTGGAAATCAGGATTTGGGGAATTATCACTTTTGGGAAGTTGCCAAAACTAACAAACACCGAATCTTTTATACTAAATTGAAAAAACTATCACAGCTACGGATATTCAAATCTAGGTTTTGCTAAATTTTTTGAAGTTAGTTAAGATTAGTCAACCATTCAATACAGTTTTAGTATTTATCATACCCTACTAATATTAAATTTATTCATAAGCTTATAACTTATGAATGCTAAAAATTTGGTAATTTTATATTAACCATATTCTCCATTCTTATAGCTTTAATTTATTATAGTAAAATTATTAATACTATTTATAATAATTCTTATGTTGAATTTTACCTTGGTGTTCATTTTATTATCACATTCACTGTGTTACTTACTCTGTGAGGTTTGAGTGTCTATGAACTTCTTTATCAAGGCATCAGTCGTTTGGGTATAAAGACTGAGAGCATATCTCAGCGATTGAAGATCGGGGCTTTTCTCCAAGAAATTCTTTTTGAGGCCATTTCCTCCCGCATGGAAGTATTGCTAAAAAGGAAATAAGTAATGTAAGCAAAGGCGTTTGGAATAACACTGGAGGTGAGGTTTTATTGCTGTAATAATAAAGCCCAACTGGAATGATACAGTACATCCAATGTAAGGTAGTTACAAAGTGCTACCACATTCTCATTGCTAAGTCATCACCATCTAGTTCAGTTTCCCCTCAGTATCTCTGAAACGATGCTCTACACCATGGACCCCAGATCCTTGAGGCTTAAGACTTTTCCTCTCACTCAAAACTTTAAGCATATGAGATCATGAAGATGCAGAAGAGGTCAGCAATCTATAGACTTACACATTTAGGTAATAATTGAGTTGGTTATTGGCTTCTGTTTTCAGAAGATGAGAATCAGGAACAGTGTAAACAAGTGAAACTCACAAGAACAGTATAACTGTGGTAACCACCACCTTGTTTACCTCTCACTATAAAATAAAGGCTCAGCTTGCCTTGGGATCTCTCTCTCTGTGGCCTCAGCCAGGCACAGGGAAGATCCACGGAGACTAAGGAAAGCTAGAGAGTTTTGAACGCTGTCTCCGTGTAAAACATTCTTCGCCGACTCCGTCCACACCTTTGGGAACCCCTGGACCGCTGGGGCTGGACCCCAGCAAGGTTTTATTGCTGTAATAATAAAGCCCAACTGGAATGATACAGTACATCCAATGAAAGGTAGTTTCACAGTGCTACCACATTCTCATTGCTAAGTCATCACCATCTAGTTCAGTTTCCCTCAGTATCTCTGAAACGATGCTCTGCACCATGGACCCCAGATCCTTGAGGCTTAAGACTTTTCCTCTCACTCAAAACTTTAAGCATATGAGATCATGAAGATGCAGAAGAGGTCAGCAATCTATAGACTTACACATTTAGGTAATAATTGAGTTGGTTATTGGCTTCTGTTTTCAGAAGATGAGAAAAATGTCCAGGGTTAGCAAAATTTCACAAGGAAGGTACCTTAGTCACACAATTGCAGACACTAATTTGTCTTTCAAGGCCAGGTACCTGCTAGTCCAACTTTCCCATCCTGTAATCATGCAGTGGTGCAGATAGAGGCCAATCTAAAGAGTCAGAGTGGACCTTAGAAAATCAACATCCCCTGAACCTTATACCTTATGTCTGATAAAATCAAATAGGGTTTGTTGTTTTCTTGTAATGCCATCCAACAAACTCAGAAACAGTATAGTTTAGGCAAGATAATATAGAAGCTGTAAGCTCTTTGACTATTAATATGGTCATCAAAGGATGTTAGCATTTGCCTGCTGCAAGTATTATACATGATATCTTTTTGGAAAGCAGAATATGCAGAAATATGTAATAGAAATAAAAATGTTTTCCCCTAATCATTTACAGATGACAATACATACTATTTATAATATTCTGTAATTGCTAGATAAATAGTTTGCTTTCTTTCTCTGCACCAACAATGCTAAACTTCACATTCATTGCAACATGGCTCACTATGGTCTGTGATCCCATAAAATGACATATTTTGAAAAAACTCAACAAATAATTTTGATACAGGTTCTCAAATGAATGTGTGTCATCCCTCTATTCCATTCATAATTATCTCAATTTTCTCCCCTAATCAAGGGGAGATGTAAAAAAATATTCTGTTCATTTATAGGCATCTGAGTGCACTTTTAAACAATATAATGTAGAGAAGATTCAGGGGATAGATCAGAGAAAGTAGGAATTGGGGATATAATCTCAAGAAAGATTGCTCCAGAGGACAACCAAGATGGTGGCATAGGTAAACACCTGTACTTGCTGCCTCTCACAATCACATCAAAACTACAACTAAAATACAAAACAAATATAATCTAGAACCATGGGAAAGCTGGCTGAGTGAAAGCTCTACAACTTGAAGGAAAGAAAAAAGCGCATTGAGACTGGTCAGAGGTGTGGAGGTGCGGAGGTGTGCGCAAAATGTTCTGGCAACTGGGTGCGCTGTTGTCTTTTTCAATCAGGAGGAGATACAAGCTCCTGATTGCTCTGAACTTCAGTTCCAGGTGAGACTCTGGGGACACAGACTCATACGGGGAGAAACTGTACTGTCTGGCATCGGGCCAGAACGTGAGGGCGGCTTTATTTCAGAGGTGCTCACAGCAATCATTGTTCCTGCATGGGGCTGCAAGACACAGAGACCTGGGGACTTCTCTGGTATAGGGCCAACTGGCAGCCATTGCTGTTTGCTTTGCCCTGGTGATTCCCTGAGACCCTGCCCCGCCCAATTTACAACCCTACCCAAGCTGTGAGCATTGGCTTTTGCATATGAATGGCCTGTTCTTTTACAGCTTAAAAACCTAACAAACTGCAGCTAGGTCAGAGAGCTCCAAAGCTTCCAAAAGAAGGCCCAAGGCCCAACAGCAACAGCAGCCTGCCTTGCTTCACAGCTGGGCCTCATCTAGCTATTTCCAAACTCCAAACAAAAAGGAGGAATCTGAAGATCTCTCTGTAGCTACTGCTGGGTGGCCTCAGGGAGTGGCTGACTTTGCACCTCCTTGGATATCCAAGAGCCAGTGTATCCATTGGTCAGTGTGAGACCATACCAGATTATAACTCTTCACATCCATAAGTGACACACTCAAGGGGCAGGCTCAGTGAGCAGCAAAACCCCACTGATGCAATCCTGCCCCATAAGGGTGTCTCCAGCACAGCAGTTCTTCCATTGTAGACATAGCTGATCCTCACAGCCAGTTGGCCTGGAGGTCAATTCTTCTCAGTGATAAAAACAGCAATCAAGACTTAACTACAAGAAGGCTGTGAACACAGCCCACAAAGGGGTGCACCAAGAGTCTACCTCGGGTGATTGGGGAGGTTGAGCCACTGGTCCTATAGGACACCTAGCACACAAGGCACTCTATCAACACAGGGAAGCAGCCAAAATGCAGAGACAAAGAAAGCATGTCACAAATGAAAGAAATGGAGGAAAGCAAACTACTGGATATAGAATTCAAAACCATGGTTATAAGGTTACTCAAGAATCTTCTAGAAACCTCCAAGAAATTTAGTGAGACCCTCAAGGATATGAAAAAGGACCAATCAGAAATTAAGCATACACTGACTGAAATAAAGAATATTATAGAGTTCCAACAACAGACTAGAGGATCCCAAGAATTAAGTCAAATATTTGAAATACAAAGAAGCAAATACACCCAAACAGAAAAGCAAAAAGAATCCAAAAATATGAAGATAGTGTAAGGAGCCTCTGGGACAACTTCAAGCGTACCAACATCAGAATTATAGGGGCACCAGAAGAAGAGAGAGAGCAAGATATTGAAAACCTATTTGAAGAAATAATGACAGAAAACTACCCTACCTGGTGAAAGAAATAGACTTAGAAGTCCTGGAAGTGCAGAGAACTCCAAACAAGAGACATCCAAAGAGGACCACAACAAGATTCATTATAATTAAAATGCCAAGAGCAAAAGATAAAGAGAGAATCTTAAAAGCAGCAAGAGAAAAATAGTTAGTTACCTACAAGGGCGTACCCATACGACTCTCAGCTGATTTCTCAACAGAAACTATGCATGCCGGAAGGGAGTGGCAAGAAATATTCAAAGTGATGAATAGCAAGAACCTACAACCGCTAAAGGAGTTTATCACTACCAAACCAGTATTATATGAGATGCTGAAGGATATTCTTTAAGAACAGGAAGAAGAAAAACGTAAAGATAATAACTATGAACAACAAAGTGACAACAAATACTATCTATCAACAAGTGAATCTAAAAATCAAGTGAATAAAAAATCTGATGAGCAGAATAAACTGGTGAATATAACAGAATCAGGGTAGAAAGGGAGTGGACTGACAATTCTCAGGGGCAAGGAGGTGTCAGGGTGTGGGAAGAGATTGAACAAAATCTTACACCTACGGACGAGGACAGTTGTGGGGGGTAAGGGCATGGGGTGGGTTGGGAACCTGGTGGAGGGGAGCTATGGGGGTAAAAAGAGGAACAACTGTAATAATCTGAACAATAAAGATTTATTAAAAAAATAAAACTGAAAATATAAAGTGAACATATATTTTAAAAATGCATGATGAACAAAAGAAAAGAGAAAGATTGCTCCAATTACAGACACCCTCCCCAAGGAGAAAAATTATGGCCATTTAATATTCCAATAGAAAAATAGAAAAGGCCCTTTTCTTTTTAAAAAAAGAATAAACATATAATATTTAAAGTTGTTTTACACTTTGATCTTCTTATAAAAATGTTAAAATATTTTTCACAAGTATAAGTATTTATTGAGGTCTATGAATCCAGAATTGTTTCGGGTGCTTTGGTGAATAAAAGAAATATAATCATTCCTTTCTTCATGAAACATGTATGCTATTTGAGATGAGAAAATATTAAATAGATGTATTGAAAGGGAAAGTTTGTTCTAGACAGTTTGGCTCAGTGGATGGAGCATCAGCCTGTAGACTGAAGGGTCCCAGGTTCAATTCTGGTCAAGGGCACATGCCCAGGTTGTGGGCTTGATCCCTAGTAGGAGGCGTGCAAGAGGCAGCCAATCAATGATTCTCTCTCATCATTGATGTTTCTTTCTCTCTATCCCTCTCTCTTTCTCTTTGAAATCAATAAAAATATATATATTTTTTAAAGGGAAAAGTTTAGTTTGGTCTTGACATTTCTGCTAGAGGAATGATGGGGTTGGGGTGCTCTCTTGAGGTCTGTTTACATAACAAACCATGGAGCCATCAAATGCAATAGCTCACAGTAAAGAGCAGTGGGGTAAACTGAACCAAGAAGAGGCAGGATATTCTAAAAGAAACACATTCTCCCTCTCAATGTTTCTCAAACAAGCTCCAGTTTTATTAAACCTCAACATAAATACTAGAAGATTATAATAAAAAGACATATAAGAGAAATAATAATAAGCAGCTGTAATGGTATTTTGCCATCTCTCAGTACTAATAAGAGTTGTTAGGAAAGATTGTGAAAGATTTTGAAATAGGAAAAAAGGATTAGTGGGTGTTCTCCATAGTGTA